TGTCATTGCCTTAAGAAATTTCCTGCCTCTTCATAATAAATGAAGAAACGTAATTTAAAATATTATTGGCGAATGCATCAACCCTTGTGAATGATGGAAGTAAATTTCCATAGCTTCTGTAGAATATCATATCTATAATTTAACTTTTTTAATGCAATTTATTAGAATTTGCTTAGAAAAAATTTACAAATAAAGTTTTCGAAAATAAGCAAATTAATTGCAATTTTCGTGTTCATTCAAAACAGAAAAACAGAAAGTAAAATATACTCATGAAGCTCTAAGACATTATCTTTGTCCTTAAGGATATAAAGACTGTTCATAAAATATATCATAAATCCATCTGAAAATATAGAAAATCTAAGGAAAGTGAACAACAGGAACTTGTTTTAGCTAGTAAATACATAATACTTCAGTATATATCTTTGATTTGAACTGGATTTTAGTGTAATCAACAGAGATCTCCTATCTGGAACAGGTATACTCTCGGAGGACGCATTTCTCCTGTGTTTGAGATTGTTGCTACTAACATCACGCCATCTGAGACGAAGCGTGTCACATTCTGAACACGATTGCTTGCGTTTATTAAATCTTCCGACACTTCCCAAAATACTTATGATCAGTTTCAATATCTTTCCACTTCGTTTTCTTTCTCTGTTTACATTGTGAAAGAGCAAACGTTTTATTAAGATTTTTATTTAAATTATGTTCTTATTCATCTTTATAGACAAACATCACGCCAAAATTTCGAGATGCTGATTTTCTTTCCATAATAGTTACCATTTTTTATAATGACGAATGAAACTTTTTCCACTCTTGTATCGCATCATAGCAATAATACTCATTCTGCTGTGTCGTTTATATACTATTTCAATCTTTTATACAGATAAACGGTTTAATATTATTCTGGGCATAGACCAAAGAAGAGAATGAACAGTTTGTCACGCTTTATCATATTGATAACTTCACATCACGCAATTCGGATGTAAGTACAAATTTACAACAATATACATAAATATAATGAATACAGTTTTACTTCTTCTACATACAATCGAACCAATTCAAGAAAAATATAGTCTATAACATCTTGCTGCACTAATTTGATAAAATATTCGATAGTTTCATCTTAATTATATAAACATAAGTCAAATTGTAAACATTATATTTATTCCTAACGTTAAAAATAATAATTAAACTTGTGAGATCTCTATATAATGAAAGTTATACGACTCTTGACTGCTTGATTATTTCCATTTCGAGTAACATTGTCGTGAAACTATTCACATGGGAAAGATTATTGCTAAATTAAAGCCAAATCTCTCTTAGTAATTTTCAAAGCAGAAACGGAAACGGTACTACTTGACCCATTTTATTCATTAAATGTGCTAGAAATATAGGACTCACTATCTAACATATTAATAGCGTAATTATATCAGTGTTAATAACATGAAACTTTTGAAACGTTAAAAAAAGAAAAAAAAATTAGTTAAAAACGAACACGAACATACTCTTCCATAACGTGTAACGATGCTTAAACGCTAGCAGATTATAATAAATGCGTTAATGAAGCTTAATTGTGATTAATAAAGCATAATTTTCCTCTATTAATCGTAATTAAGATTCGTTTTATTTTATTAATTTAAGTATGTTTAAATATTTAATGTTATATATTTTCAAACATAAATTTCATATTTAAAACCCTGAACTGATTTAAACATAAGGTGTATCTTATAATTATATTAATAATTTTAGAAATTAATTAATATAATTAACTTCTCTTAAAGTCGTCTCTTAAATTAATATACAGCGTAATATAAGCATTTATCAAATTGATAAATTATACTAATTTCCATTGCATCTCATTAGCAGAAAACTTGTTTGATAGACGTGAATCTAGTGAGTGTTACTACAACTTCAATTTTATCATTTCAAGAAACGACAATAGATTAAAGGAATTGTTTCAATTAAATAATTATAATTTTCAAGTCTTGCCAATAACTAGTTTAACTAATTTACTTAATTAGTCATCATCTCTTAATGATAAATTTTCTAATAACAATTATATTTGTTAGATAATCAGCCTGACTAAAGGATAACAAGAGTAAATATGATTACATAAAACAATTATTTGTAAAAAAAATATTTTTAGATTATTTTTAAATTTTAATTTTTATATAGACTACGAGTCTATTTTTTTAATTTTCTTAGTTAAAAAAATATATTTAAAACTTTGAGAATAATTTTTTAAGCTTTAATTAACGCGAAAATAATAATTAAAAAATATTTTGCTCAAGTAATTAATTTGTGAAATAGAATTTTTATAGATTAAATATAAAATTTAAAAAATATTCTTTTAATATTTACGTTTATTTACGATTTTTACTATAAAAATAATAACAGGATATTAAACTAAATAATTATTATTTCCATTATTCATCTCCAAGCAATTTTATAAACCATTTATCTCTTTAACAGATGTTTCAAAGTGTCACAGCAATGATTCTATATTTACAAAATTAGTAAATTTATTTCAGTTTTGAATAATCAGATGCACAATAGATTAAAATTCCTAATTTTACTAATTTTCTACAATTAAAACCGAAATATATTCAATTAAATATACATAAGACTGATGAAAATATATATTTAATTACAGTATTTTTAACAGTGTAACATATATTATTAATCAAAATAACAACTCTATAACATAAAATAATGAAGATACAATACTTTTTAAAAATGTTTTAACAATGTTTTTATTATAAAATTGAACGAAATTTGTTCATATATCTTTTTGTTTTTTCTCTCATTATACATTATTAATAGAGGCGGTAAGTATAATATTTATCAATAAAAAAACAACATTAAATTTTATTCTTAACATATTCTTATACGAAACTAAATTAGATTTACAAATTAGAAATACAATAAAACTGAAATAATACACCAGTTTTAGCAAGCGAGCAAGAAATTGTCTTCTACAGTTCAAATAATTACAAGATAATTTATATACTTTATTCATTACTAACATCCTCATCAAATATTGTATCTACAGGAGTAAAACCATTATATCTAATTCGAAGAAAGCTCGAGGGTCTCCAGAGGTTTAAATGGATCCCAAATTGAACATGAAAGAGAAAGGATCGGTTTAGTGGGATTTCAACAAGCTAAATGGATCGAACAGAAATGCTCTTGCCAATATATAAAACACTCACCAAACAGAAAATTAAAAACGAGGCAGTAAAGTAGATTTAATGGAGAAAGAATCATTACAACAAGATTGTTCTCTAAAAGCGATTAAAAAATCACTGTGGAAAGTATAAAAATTATAAAAGAAGACATTAAGAGATGGAAAATGATCGCACGAAATATTTTACAGATCACATTAATGATATTTTTGTGATTTTTAAAGCAATTCGATTAAGACACGTTCTCCAGAGATATTTTTTTTATTCTGTAAAAAAACTGAAAATTTAATGGTCACTTAATTAAAACTAATTGCGATGAATTTTATACTAATTTAATTTCTTGGCCCATATATTAAAAACTATTGTTACTAGTTACGTCTTAAAAATAATCAAGATAAAAAATAAATTAGAAAATTTTCTATAGTAAAAAGTAATTTAGATGTATTTTTGTTATTACATTTTTATGACGAATTTATTAAATTTTGTATACATTTATGTATTTATGAAATGTTATGAGAAATAATAAAGATTGTAATCTATAATATATATTAATATATTAATAAAATAAA